GCGCATCCGAGCGCATGCAGCGTTTAAATAATAAAACCTGAGCGGTTATTACTAAACCACACGGAGATATTTAACGGGCCTTATAGTTCAGTTAATACAGGATTCACAATATTCCAAAAGACAATCTCAAAATATGGATAACATATGGTGGAGCAGATTTATATAATAATTAGGAATTATTTCATGGCTACTTTTCCAATAAAGTAAGTGTAATCAATCAAACATTAGTTGCTCTTTTGTTCAAGAACTATTTTAGATACTTGCTTATTTTTTAGAACTGAAATATGAGAACGTTACTTTGATAACTTTCTAAAGCGCTTCTTTGAAATAAATTCTTCGTTTTTAACATTCGAGGATTGGATGATTTTTATTTTGAGAAATACGGGGGAAAGTCTCATAAATCAAATTTCATTATGCATGACTACGTTTTTTTTTCAGTGATAGTCTCTATTAGTGCACTATAGGTTACCTCGCCACATAGAGCGAACATACGGTAGATTGTGGAACGTTTACAACTTAACTTTGCTGCCATCTGCCACTATTTCAAACCATTTTCATGCGAGATATTTTATAAAAATTAGTCTTCTTGTTTAAGAGCCTCATTATAGCGTTATTAAAAAACATGAACAATAGTTAGGGTAAGACTACCCCTTAGCGCATAAACCCCAATGTTTTCCGCTTTATCGTGAGAAATTAAGAAATCGTCAAGAGTGGTCATTTTAGGATAATGCATGTGAAACTAAAAACGGTCGTTATTTTTGCAAATAAAAAGGTTCAGAACTAACCGTGTTATAACGTAAAATCACAGTTCATAATACATACTGTAAATATTGTAAATTATGGTTTTTATAGAGGTTATTGTGTTATGTTTTTTCAGTATGTTTCCTAGAAAATCCTAGAGAAGTTTTTGCATATTCTCTATAAAATTAAGCTTTGCGTTTATAGGAATTGTTTTGAAGAATTTAACAATTTCGTTTCCTGACATATAACGAATACTGTGTGTGCACTGTGCCAATTGTACGTTTTGTTGAGGAATTTATATTATTTACAAAAGAAATATCTCTGATGAAGTTCTCTCAGTATTTACTGAAATAAGATTAATCCCGAACAGTATAGGCCTAAACAATGAAAATTTACTACGGAACCTAAATCTTAAAGCAGTTTTCTCAATATTCACTGAAAATGTGCAACAACATAGAGATGTAGTGATAGGAATGTTTATCTTAAATGCGACTACTCAACAATAATTATTTCCATCAAAAATATCACAAAATTGCATTACTGAGATGACAATGTCCCAATACTATACAGTGTATGGTATAATCTTATAATTTAGAGCATGTTTTTGTGTAAAAAATCAAAACCAGCTTATAAAATAGTATTCTATGCCACAATATTACCACCCATAATGCTGCATAGAAGAACTAGTAAGCAGAGGCACCCTTAGAAAAATTCATATTTTCGTCCATTTGAGATTTGCGCTAAAGTGTTTTCAGCCAGAATTAGTTACTAACCTGCCGACTCCCGTCTTTGCATTATCCAAAAGCTAGTATCGTCATTGTAAACGTGTAACAAAAAAAAAGTTTTAAATATTACACTTTTGAGTTTTCTATATATGGTTACAAGAACAAGGGACTCTTTGAGGAATCTACAGTTTGGTACCTAAACGGAAGAAAGTAGGAAAACACATTGTACGCTCGCACCGACTTTACAAATACAAAGGACACGCGTTTTAGTAGTGACGTACTATGTGTGTGTGGTGCCTAAGTATAGAGAAAAAGCTAATGAAGCTTCGTGCAGCAACAACAGAGAAACTATACCAAGTAGTACAGAATTTGATAATGTTAGTATGACTACTCTGAACAACGAGAAGTGAGATACAATCTCCAATGGCTGCAGTGTGATCAAGGGTTTAAGTAGAACAGCCCCCGCTGATTCTACATAACAAATCTGGATGACACCATTTGAGGACATAAACACCCCATATTACTAAACACTTTTTCAAACGAAAGCGCAATAAATATTAACGAGTTTCAGCTAAATCGAACACATGTTCACACATGTAGGCCAAACATACTCCGAATATGAACAGTCATCATAATAATGATGAGGTTATACAAATGCAGATGATATAGCACCCAAGCGGACATTATACGAAATTCCCCCTGAATCAACGTAAGCTTTTTCTCATAAATCTAATATCGGGCAGCCATTTTGGCGCATATGATACGGTTTTCGAATCCTGCATCGTCTATCATCGGGATCACGCATTATTTCCACTGGCTCAGCAACAATAGAAACGTGAGGGAGGGACAAAATCAAGCGAAGGGCCGAAATCAAGCTTTGCAACGTGCCGCCGGCTGCCCGATCTATATCAAAAGGGATTATCTGCAGTTGGTCTGCAAAAGGGGACACCCGTGGTATGCATCTGCAATGCAGAATTTCCATCAGAGATTAAACTGTAAGAGTTATGCTGATGTTATAGGTTCCAAATGCATTGTATTTCTACAGGTTGGTTTTTATTACAACAAACATGCGTCGCGTCATGGGTCAACACATAATACAGTCTGCAACATGTTGCGGAACAAGCGCAGGGGGCAAAAATGTTAAATAATTTATATCAACATTTCCTAACGATTATAAACAACGATTATATTGACATTTTTTTTATATTTTGAAAACAAAAAATAATAGAAAAAGAAGCAGTGGTTTAACACAATTTTTATTCAATCATCTGATGATACACAACGTTCACTCTCAGAAGCGAGGGATCTCTGGCGAGCTATTTGATTGAACAATTCAGCAGAAAGAAGTAGAGCCGAGGTCTAGCTCAAAAATAAATGGCTTGCTTCTTTTCTTCGGTACTGGCCTCATATGGATCTCGAGATGTCTATTCCTTATATAATTGCTTTAGTACTAATTACAAGTCATGGATTGATGGAGAGGACAAAAGAGTACAAAGGGAAAGATATACAATACCATATTTTCAAATTTATCAACCTGAGGGATGACTTCGAAACATATTAAGAAAAACGTAACAAAGTTGTTGCTCTTATAATATCAAAACCAAAAGCAGTATTATGAAGGAAAGATTGACAGATGCAAAGGAGACAGCAAACAAATCAGGAAAACCTTGAAAGATCTCGTTAATAACAAACATTGGAATTTAATGGCTGTGACACTGTAGATAATAAATTTAACAATTATTTTAAAAAGAGTGTAACTGATACAGTAAGCACCATACCTTCAAGTAATGAGCAAGCTATAACAGCAGCAGTGCCTTTAGAAGAGGAACTTTGGAGGTTTCAACAAGATTCACTGAATAAGCTACGCAAAACGGTTTTTTAATTGAAGAAAAAATCTACGGGTGATGAAGCAAAACAAATAATTCACGTAAGCCAGAAGACTTGCGACCCATCAATCTTATGCCAGACGTCAAGAAAATTATAGAAATAACAGTGCATGAAGAGCTGAGTGAGCATCTACGTGTGAACGGTGTTCTTTTTGAGGCAATCCGGGTTCAGAAGGAATCATTCTTGTGAAACTGCGCGCCAATTTTGTATGTACAAAGTGGAAAACAGATGTAGATGATGGTAAAGAGATTGTGTGTATGTCTGTTGACCTAAAAAGAGCGTTTGAAACTACTGACAGGAAATTGTTGTTGAGAACATGTGAAATGTATGGAATTAAGTGGTAAAAATTGAAAGTAGAATATCAAGTAATGTTGCTGTTGATCATGGAGTACCTCAAGGCAGCGTACTAAGCCCATTGCTGTTTATTTTATATGTCAATGATA